GACAAGCACCCACTCAAAACTCAGAGATATGGCAACCCAGATAAGAGTTCACTTCCAATGACTATGGCGACTCAGCGCCCAAACAACTCTCTGTTCGCATACACCAGATCACCCTGGATATCCCACACGCGTCTCTCTGAACACTCACACACACACACACACACACACACACACACACTACACACTAACTCTATCTATGGCGGCTATGGCTGCAACTACCCTATCGCTATGCTACGCTCCTTCTCTCTCGCCCACTTCCGCTCCGGGCTCACTGCAGACCTCCTTGCACAAGTTGCTGTGGCAGCGCTTCCGCATGGCTCACGCAGGAATGAATGAATGGATGGGCGCTGCTTCTTGATCTATACTTCTGAAGCTCGTTGGTCTGCCCCTTTCCATCGGCCCATGGTGCTCACAGTCCCTCGTGGTACTTGCTGGACTGGACTGGGACTGACTGGACCTTACCGCTGACTGAATGGGGACTCACTGCTATCCTACCGCTATCGTACTGCGAAGGTACTGCAGTTGGTCTACCACTTGCCCACTTACTCGACCTTCTAGAAGGACTACAACTAAGATTTCTGGAACTCACTAAGACTTCTATTCTACAGACCTACAGATCGAACCCCTGCTACCTACGGACCCTACGACAGTCTACTAACTGTTACAAATACACAGATCGTGGGTTCAAGCCTTGGGGTCGACACAGATACTGTACACCGGTAGGGTAAGGGCTAGGGATCGAGCCCTGGGGTCTGCATCTGCTACTGCAAAAGGTGAAAACCGTTTCACTCTCGCCGTCCTAAATTCGAGGTCCTCCGAGAATATCTTAGTCTAAGGCAGGACCTTTACCCTTCCTTTCACGCTCGTAGGCTCTGACTATGTCGGGAGCTGTTTCTAGAAGTTTTGTTCTAGTAAACCAGCGGTCGTCCTCCGGTTCCTGATAGGCGAACCGAACCTTATACTGTTTTTGTGGGCGACCTCTACATCTTGTCCTAAACACATCTTCATCTACAATGCTGTCAATGTCATATCTGCCATCCATATGCGGAGGGATCATGGATCTTCTTGAAGGGAACTGTTGACTTGTAACACACGACAACAACTTTGAAGCATGGAACACCGGGTGGGTGTGGAGGTGTGCTGGGATTTCTATAGTGTAAAACGGTCCATCCTCCCCGCCCTTGACTTCTAGAACCGACCACGGTCCTCTATATGAAGGCAGTAACTTCTGCGAGATGTTCTCCTCAGGCGCAAACTCTTTAGACTTGACCCAGACCAGGTCGCCTACCTGAAACTGTGATGGGGGACGGTGCTTATTAGCCTGTTCTATCATGAGGTGCTGGGCCTTCCTGAGGTTTTCAACAACAGTTGCTAGCTCTCTCTCGTGCTGTATCACGAACTCCCTGGTTCCGGGCGGTAGCCTGTGAATCTGATCCCGGGTAAGTCCCTCAAACGGTCTGCGGGGTCTAAAGGACTTGTGTAACTCGTTGGGAGTGCGACAAGTAGACAAATGCACACTGTTATTGTATGCGCTGGCTACCGTGGGCAGCATCTCATCCCGATTGACTTGATCCGGTCTAATATACATGCGCAGAACTTGCTGCAGGATCTTGTTCATCTGTTTTGTCTGACCGTTAGTCTCTGGATGACGGTCAAATGACATCAGCAACTTTGATCCATAGACTCTCATTAGTTCCTGCCAGTTCTGACTGGTGAATTTGGTGTCTTTATCACTAACTATAGACAGCGGAACCCCGTGATCACTAATCCCATGATAAAAAAACTTTTGAATGACTAACTCTGTACGTGCCTCTGCAGGCAAAGGAACAAAAACGACATACTTGCTAAATCGGTCAACTATGACCATGACTTGGTTCTTGTCGTGCCTATTCTTGACACCGACATCCGTAAAGTCAATGGAGACTGAATCTCTAGGTTGGTCTGAGATAGGCAAGGGTCTGAGAAGACCTAGAGGGGCACACGTAGTGGTCTTGTTCCTCTGGCAAACTTTGCAACTTCCTTCCTCACTTCTTGGCTATGGCGGCCGGCTTCGCCTTCGTCGCCACCCTTCACCTTCCTTCTCTCCACCTCGCATCTTCCTTCCTCACCCTGTCTGTCTGCTTTTTTTTTTTTTTTTTTTTTGATAATCTCTCTCTTCCTCTCCTCGGTTATGGTTTCTCTCTCCCTTCTCGTTCTCTCCCTCTGCCCACTTTCTCTCCCTCCTTCGTCACTCCGTGGTCAAACTTCGCGGCTATGGCCTTCTTCTTCTTCTTCTTCATGGGACTGCGCTTCACAGGTACGTAACAGCCAAACTTGTATCGCTCATCTCTCTCTCTCTCTCTCTCTCTCTCTCTCTCTCTCTCTCTCTCTCTCTCTCTCGCCGTAGCGGTATCTCCAGCGCAGCAGGTACGTAGTAACCCAATCTT